CCCTATATCAGAAGCATAAATGATGGCGGCACAGGCCTCGAGGCCAAATTGCAAAAAAGAGTTGAAAGAGTCATAAACATAAGCATGGCCGGGGATTGAACCCGGAAGCCAACTACCATTAGACCATGCTGGCTTCCAAAGATTGTTGGTAAATCTGGGATAAGGGGTGAATTCTTGATTTCGTACTCCAATTGGTCTCATGTCCGGGCCCAGCTTGAACTGTAGTTTAAATGCCGAACAAGTCAGTGCTGAGTTTATAGGACTGGGTTCAATCGCACCCGAACAAGTATTCGACATGGTCGTCAGCTAAGTTACATTTTTTTGCCGGACTTGGCCAGGCACCGGGTTGTCTTATACACCGGGTTCACCCCCCGAACAAGTCACTGCACAGAATTTGTCCTTTTAACTGCTGCTATTAGAGTGACATGGTCGGCAGGTAAAAGATACTGACCGACATTGTCTTCAACGTTGGCTTGGCCTAGTAGTTAAGCTGGGAGGTGTACGTAGTATATGTATGTATGCCCTGGGTTCAAATCCCGAACAAGTCATAGATTCGCGTTTTGAAAAGTTTTTTACTTACTGCAGGTAAAAGATACTGACTGACCTATGTATGCCGGTTTAAATCCTAAACAAATTTTTTACTTGCTGCTATTAGAATGACATGGTCAGCAGTTACTTAAAAGATACCGACCAACATTGTCTTCCACCGTTGGCTTGGCTTAGTGGTTAAGCTGGAGGTGTACAGAGTGTATGTATGCCTGGGTTCGAATCCCAGAAGTCACTTACAACGATCGCAACTCTTTCGTTTTTGTAACTCTGGCTAAAATTTACTAATCAATTCTTACCGAGCTTGCAGACCCAGGTTAGTTGTCTTACGCTGGGTAAGTTACAAAGTGCCGAGCTTTCAGGCCAGGTGGATCATTGACTTGGCTCAGTGGTCAAGGTGGGAGGTGTACGCATTGTATCTATGTATGCCCTGGGTTCAAATCCCTAACAAGTCATGCTGTTCATCCTAAACAGTTTTTTACTTACTACTATATTAGAGTGACATGGTCGTCAGCTAA